TTGAATATTTAACCGAGTGAAAATTGTTTGTTCATAATTTGTTGCTCATATTTTCTCTTTAGAGCTTATCGGATATATCATTGCTCCGCGCAGCTCGTATATATTGTTTAAATCAATAAAGCTACTTAAAGCTTTAAGTGATAACTCAGACGAAACTTTGAATACCTGTTTGAGTACTTTACACAATAATTTATGGACATTTTGTTGTTTTACTAGATATTTTAATATTTAATCGTTTTTAGCTTAGGCCAGTTGTAATACCATGCCATAACTCAAGATGCAGTCAAAACAAAAATATCGGGCTGAAATTTCGCAACTACATAATACTCTGTTAAATGCAAGATCTAAAACGCAGACATACAAACTATTTTTAAATTGTTATCGGCCGTTGAGGGAGTTTAATAGTAGTCCTCTGTCTAATTTTGTTGATCTAGCTGTAAAACTGTGCCCCATATAGTATTAATACTTTTCTGACGAGGGAATACATTAACAAATTTAAGTGTAACTTCAAAAAGGGGATATTGCACAAAATCAATATACTAATTTTATGCACTCTGTGAATGTACACTATGATACTAGAGTATAATATAAATAGTCAAAATTATATATTTTAAATTTAAAATTCTTTTGAAATTTCAGGCATTGCCCAAAACAAATATACTTCTGTTTGCACTCTGTGTACGAGTATAAAAACAGAAAGGCAAACTAATAATTAAATTAGAAAATAATTTCCATTCACTCTGTGAAGGAGTATAAACACAGAAAGACATAGTAATATACTCTTGTTTCTTTGGTGACAGAGTATATGGTATATGGTAAACAGCCAATGATTTTTTTGAACTCACCCCAACTCCCATGATGAATTTGAACAGCTTTAACGGCACATAAAAGATTTTTATACGACTGCTATTGCCCTGTCAACGATTTTAGACTTCATCAATATTGAAGCATCACCTGTTAAGTTGCCCTGGGTATTTTCCAGCTTTTGAAAATAACTATATAACAAATCACTTTCCTCAAATTTGGGCACCGCATTAAAGTTTCGTGGCGTTTTGCAGTATTCCGCATAAACGAGAAGACTCTTAGCAGGTACTGATGGCGGCCACACACTCAGATAAGAATCTGTGCCGTAGTCACCTAGTGGACGTAGTGTGATGCCACGCATCATCTGGGCCAGCTCTTGTTCGCGTTGAGCTACGGCCGTTTGGCCCGGCTGTGCGCCACCGCTAGATAGTTTACCCATTTGAACGTACTTCTTGTAAATAGCCATGCTTTGTTTGGATGGCGGACTGATGGTGCAGCCATATACCTCTTCCATGGGTGGTAGCATGGAAGCCAGCGTAAATGGTGCTGGTTCGGCTGTTTCTGTTTGTTTCGACTCTTTTTCTGCAAAGCTAGCACTAAGTTCTTCATCGCTGGAGCTGTCCTCGCCCTCGCTGGAACTAGAGGAGTTGCTGTTGGTCGAACCGGTAGAACTTTGGCCAGTCATCGATGGATTTTGTCGCCCCTTTCGCGATGGCTGTATCTGACGCTGGAAGGGACTGTAGTTAGTGCGGAATGTGGGCATGTATCGCGTGGCAAGTTGGCTGATTTCAAATTCAATGTGCTCGCTCAAATCCGTCCACTTAAAGGACTGATGGTAATTCGAGAAGGCATCAATCATCTCTAATCCATTGCTATGCACACGAAACAGCTCCTTGACCAGCTTGTTGGTGTCAGCGCAGGGAAAGGGTAGGCACTCGCGTACCTTGTGCCGCACCCAATCCGTAATAGGAGCGATCGAAGTGCTCGGCACAAAGGCATTGTGCATATCGTAATCCGTTTGAAGCTCCCAAATTGGTTGGTTTACTGCAAAAATAAAGCTTTTAAGTAAAATATTAGACTCAGGCGGTATATTTCTTACGCTTGTTAAAACTCGGCTTGTAGAGGCCCAGAAACAAATTAATGCTCTGCTGCTTCTCCGTGTCGCTGAATGTATTGCTGTAGTAGCGGCTCAGCGTCTGCATAACGTCGTTGCCCTGAGAGGCCCAGGCGGCCGTCTTACGATAGGTCTTAATGCGATGCACTAGCTGTGATCCGCCATACTGCAGAGCCAAAGTATCACCGTGCTCCTCGTACAGATGCTCCAGCATGGTCACACAATCCGAATCAAACTCCAGTTTGGCTGATTTTACAAAACCCAGCCGCTCTAACTGATGCCCCAGAGCGCATTTTCCAATAGCAAACTGCGCCGAGTTCGTGCGATCCAAGCAATCTACGCAATTTGTACGCACAATGCCCGTTTGGAAGCTGAGCTCACTGCCCCGATGAGCCTTATAAAACATGCCTGTCATCTGTATCATACTCGCCGCGTGAACGGCCAGTTGTTCCATGACATTGCCCCCGCTGAGACGGCTCTGACGTGCCATATCAAAATGAATGTGCTTCATGCGATGCTGCGGCGGCAAGAACTGATTAAGATACTTAATGCTGTTTTGCAGTTCCTTGGAAATTATGGACTCGTGTTTTCGTCGCTCACGCTTCTTTACCAAATTCAGCATAATCAGCGGAGCACCATAGTGAAACAGCAGCCGTTCGAAATGCCGTGACGGTGTCTGAGCATAGGGATCACATATGTCTAGCTGTATGGGCGGCTTTGGCACCATCTTGCTAATGTCCTGGGACCAGTGCGATGGTATCGAACCTCGCATTTGCGTGAAAGCGCATAGGCGCTGCCCGTCGCTTACAATCTGTTCCGTTTCGACTTCATTAGCTACGTCGCCCTACAAGATAGGAATAGATGCTTATAATGTGTATCTATATTTAATCTGGAAACATACCCGAAAATTAGCGCCCCGTTTGAGAAACCGCGTGCCAGCAAAGCGTGTGCTGCGACGCGCTATTAGACAAACATTGACATGTCTGCCAAAGATGCTGATGCACGACTGGCTCACATAGCCATGTGTGACCTCCAACAGCCAGTCCTTAAGCATAATTACCTCCATAGGCTTCAGTAGATAAGCGTTCCACACAAACCGCTTGCGTGAATCGCTGCGAAAGGCATAGTCGACACGCTCGTGCGCCTGTGCCACATTGTTGGTAAGCTTATTCCAATCGGGCAGCGGCTCATCCCTCTCTAGATTCACCTTGGCACCCACATATCGTGGCGCCGACTCGTTGTACTGCAGCGTGCGAGTCAAGTCATACGAGTAGGAAAAGTAAAAGTTGCTGCGTAAATCAATATTTTGGAACATCCTCTTGTAGCGCTCCTCATGCGGATGTGGAGGTCGCTGTGATGTCACCTCGTTGACACGCACCATCACGGTATCTTTGATGGTATATACCAGATGCATGCCAATATGGGCGCAGCATTTTCGCTTGGTAACCAGTATAAGGTAATACCCCTCCAGGAAACGCACGAAGCCCAATACTCCGTAGGCGGAGGTTACTTTTGGCGATCCCGTTAAGGAGGACACAAACCTGCGAATCTCCAAACTGTTCAGCTCGTTCGCATTCTCCTCGATGATCAAGCGATTCAGCGCCAGCCGATCGATGGTGAGCAAGCGAAATCTGGTCTCGCGATTGTTGCTGCCCACCAAGTACAAGCGCTGAAAGGCCGAAAACAATAGAATTAATGTGTTTTGTTGCGTGCGAACAACTTACCGATCGTGTTTCATAAAGTACCACCTTTTGTATAGAACTAATTAGTGGATTAAATATTATATTTGGATTATCATTATTCATTTCAACGCAAAATCATCACATGCGTCAAATTAGCGGCGGTGACTTAGCGTCGAATTTTGGTATTTGTTATCGGAAAACTATCGGTCACTTTCAAATGCATTTATTTATGTTTTTAAGCATGAAACCAAATAAATTTAAATGCAGAATTTCAAAAAATAAATTATTAACTATCTACATTCATTTATTTTTGAATTTTTATTTATAATATGGGTAAACAAAGGGGTTGAAAAGTTAGGTTTTTACCATTCTTTAAATATCTTTATTCAGGGATAATGGCCCCGAAAACCGTATATACACGATTGAAGTCTATAGTTTCACCTAACCAATCTTGAAAAAATTATAAAAATCAATCAGCACGTTTTTAAGATATTTGTACTACAGTGCAGCAACCTCGTTGCTAGCCCCATACAAAATGACCGTAAAAAATCACCCTTGCACTTGAACCCTAATAACTTTTCTCAGGGATAATGGCCCTCAATGCACGGTATACCAACTTGAAGATACATGTTTAAGGAAGCTTTACGCATTAATTCTAAACAAATCGATCAGCCAGTTTTTTAGAAAAATAGCAAAATGTAAACACACCTCATGTTGTTCATTCCAAAGGCCTATCGAGCTACTAGCTCCAACGGGAACCGAACCACTGCTCGGAATCAGTGTTGAACAATGTTATACAGTATTGAGCGGGAACAAATTAATTCAAAATACTTGTATATGGAAGAGAAATGCAGTAATATATGAAATAATTGTCATTTTACAATAAAACAGTATCTTTGGTAAAATAGACTGATGCAAAAGACGACAACTATGCATTTTAGTATTTATACACGTATAATAACGAAAAGGTGGCAATATTTCAACCTTTATTATTCTATTTCTCCGATAATGGCCCAAATGCACGGTAGTTTAACATATAGATCGCGAATTATCAATCATTTTGCTTTTTACATCAAGAAAATCGTCCAGCCAGTTTTTGAGAAATTCGCATTTATCTATTTTTCTTATTATACCCTCTGTTATGCAAAAAAAAACTATCTGGCAACATTACATACTTAACATATTTATGTTAGGGGCTGCCAACTTATGAAGAATGCACACATAAAGATGTAGAATGTATGTAGAATGTATAAATGGATGTAGAAAGATATTTAAAGAATGGTGAAAACCTAACTTTTCAAACCCTTTGTTTACCCATATTATAAATTAAAATTCAAAAATAAATGAATGTAGATAGTAAATAATTTAATTTTTTGCAATTCTGCACTTACATTTATTTGGTTTCGTGCTTAAAAACATAAATAAATGCATTTGAAAGTGACCGATACTTTTCCGATAACAAGTACCAAAATTCGACGCTAAGTCACCGCCGCTAATTTGACGCACATCTTAAATTTCATTCAAAAGTATCGATATCTGTGATATATGTAAATGTATGTTAATCGATATACTGATACTTGTAAATACTGTTTTTGGTTTGTTGCCGGCACGCGCTGCTTTCCGGCTTAAGATTTGTTATTTTGATTCTGCGTTGATTTTAAGCATTTATGATGTTTCCACAAAGGAGCTCGGTAACATATCGCACGCCCGCAACGCACCAGCCACCACCGGCCAAGGAACTGGCTGACAATGTGGACTATCCCAATCTCAATGTGGCCGATATGAATGCCCGCCTGGAGAACCTGACACCACGGCTGCACGACTGCTTTGACAGCATATCCATGAATGAACTGCAGCATTTTGCGCTGGCCACAAATCATCGCGAGGGTGCTCAGTGGTGGGGCATGCTCTTTGGGTACAGTCAGACAGATCACATGGCCGTGGACAATGCGGACTTCAAGCTGCAGTGCGAATGTACTGTTAACATCTTACGGTATGCTGATAACAACGTGCTGCTCATGGCGCTGGGTGACACCAAATTGCAGGCCTGGTCCACTTACTCCACGGTGCGCAATCCGGATGAGCCATACTGTTTGTTCCTCATTGGCGAAGATGCAGCACACAAGGCGCCCATCAATCAGCTCTGTGTGTTTAAGTCGCATCCACAGCAAGCGGTTACCACTTGCCTGGACAATACGCTCAATGCAAGTAGCTAAAAATCGGCTGTTTCTATTTCTTACAACTTTCATGCGTTTTGTAACAGGTCTGGGATCTCTCTGGTGCCGATTTGTGCAGCACGTATCATGCACGCGCCGCACACACCAACAAACTGACGGGGTTAGCCACTTCCGTGGCAGCTGCCACACAGATTCTCACCTGCGACCGCGGTGGCTGTGCACGTCTGTGGGATTTGCGTGCTACATCTCCCTCATCGACGTGTCTCTATGATGATGAGACGCATTTGCTGAGCTTCACTTGTGCCGCTTGGGCAGCGCCCAGTGAGCTGCAGGGCGATAACTACGTCTATTTGGGCGATTATGATGGCAATGTGCATACGCTTGACATTCGCGCGCCGCGCAAACTGCAGCAAACCGTGTCCTACTTTAAGGAAGGTCATGTTTCGCAGCTCCTCGTGAATGGGTAGGTAAAATCAACATTTTATCAGACCTAAAATACAACGGCTTTTCTTACAGCACCCATCTGGCGGCCATGAGCAATCTGCCCACTGCAGTCAAGATTGCCAAAGTAGGCGTCCAACATGATTTTATTTACACCAATGAAAACACGCACACACGTCTTACGGATGCAGTCTGGCGTGATGGTAGCACACTGCTGACCATTGGACACGGCCGCAAATTGGCTACGCACAAGATCAAGGACACCAGATGTATATAGCTACCTAGTTTTAGTTATCTAACTATTTAATTGTTTTCCGTGCTATGAAATATACATACATATATATATAAATATTTTTGATATTTTTTTACCAGCGACAATGTTATATTAGCTTAGCTTATTAAACGATATGTATGATTTGTCACACAAATAAACAAATATAGATATTTTGATACATATACTTATATACATTAATATGCGCTTAACGGAAAATTCACTTACCAGGCCCACTTTTTACTAGCACCTACTGGGGAGGATAAAAACAAAAGTAGAAAGTGCGTACAATTCTAAAGTCGTACATATGTACATGTTAACATAGATTCTCGTCGAGGATCCTGTTTCGAATCCTTGCTGTAATGTTATTTGACTACATCAATTGTGTGGATAGTTATTTTGGGGAATTGTAAAGCTGTAGATTGGGCATTTAAGAAGTAAATACCGGTTCTCATATAGAAATATTCAAATTGAGCTGCTAAAATTAAACGTCAATCATTTTAGTCAACTTAACTATATACATTTAATCATTATTATATTCATATTATAATCGCGTCAATAAATGTAATAATTATTCAAATTTGTTTCAATTTTTTTTTTTTTTGGCACGCAACGTTTAACAAAAGACGCAAATGCAAAACTTAAACTAAACAACATGTAAAATTAAACAACCTCAGGAAAAAAAAAATACTTTTCAGTGGGGAATCATTTAAGTAAAGTGGGGCTGTCTTTGCTGCTTCTATGCGCAATGGGGAAAAATGTTTCGATTAATTTTTCCAGAAAATTAAAACTTTTTCACTTTAGCTCTCTATTATTGCCGTCGCCGCTTTGTGGGCGGTTCCAGGAAATTGTTCTCCTCCTCACCGATCTCCATATGCTCCAACTTCATGAGTTGTTTGGCCTTGTAGAGCATCGTTGTATCCCGCAGCCAGTTGCACTTGAGCACGGCATCAATTGAGGGTCTCTTCTCGGGATCCACAATGAGCATTTGTTTGATCAGCAATTTGGCGCGCTGCGACACGCCCTGCCAGGCGGGATGGCGAAAACGGAAGTTGCCCTTTTTTATTTGCTCGCCCGCCGGTGAGCCATACTCATCCGAAAACGGCAAAGTTCCACTTAGGCTGCAGATAGATATTTATTTGGTGTCTGCCATTGAAGCCAAATCATAATCATTGCCTTACCATGTGTAGAGCACCACGCCCAGACTCCAAATGTCCACTTTTTGTGTGTAGGATTCGCGTCCGCCGGTAATGAGCACCTCGGGTGCTACATATAGGGGCGTGCCGCATAGCGTACGCATCACTGAATCCTTGTGCACAAACTTGCTTAGTCCAAAATCGGATACCTTGAGCAGTGTATCCTCATCGCTGGACTCGAGCAGCACATTGTCCGGCTTCAGATCGCGATGTGTAATACCTTGAAAAATGCATTTTGATCATAGCTATAATTTTCAAATTTATAAATCATATTAATCACTTATTTTGCCTCTGCAATCGAGCCATGGAGCTGCCCTCGTAGTTCACCCAACCCTAACTCACCTCTGTCATGCAAATACTTGACGGCATGGCACATCTGATAGAAATACAATTTGGATGTATCCTCGCAGAGCAGTTTCTTGCTTATAATGCGATTTAGCAGATCGCCGCCGCGCATAAATTCCAGCACCATATAAACGGAATCTGGCTTATCGACAATATCGTGCATGCGCACCACGCACGGATGCGAAAGATTTTTCATAATCTTTGCCTCATTCAGGACACGCTCCGGATCGTTAAGATTGTTGTTTGGATGTGCGCTCACCTCCAGCATGTTTTTCTTAACAATTTTCATGGCGAACTGTTCGCAGGTGCGTCGCTCATAAACCAGCCTGACCAGCCCATATGCTCCGGAGCCTAGTTTGCGATTTATATAATAGGTAGCGGTAATTTCAGCTGGCAGGCCTATTGCCTCGTTCGGACTAAGATCTTTGAAGACAAAGGCTAAAAACAAAGACAGGCAGGTGCTCAAATTTAAATACTGCGTTCGAATTTCTGCAATAGCAGCAGGACTTACCCTTGTAGGTAGGATGAGAGAGGGCAATGATGTCGTCATTTTGTAGGATGCGCGTTTTGTTCGTGCCGATCCGTTCGCCATTCACAAAAGTCCCATTGCGTGAGAGATCCTGGGGGGTTGTTGCAAATTGAATCGGATTTATTGTAGTTCACATTTTTGGGTGCGTATTTCGAGCTACCTACCTGTATATAAACCGGATT